GTCTACTATCGTCAACTCCCTCCTCGTCGACGTCTGACCCGTTCATGGATTAGGCAAAGATTGTCTGCACTAGAACTCCCTAATGGAATCCTACCACAGCATGTGTCTGACCGGCACCTAATTTTCTAATAATGGTTGTGTCCGGCAGTTCCTCTACTGTACCGATCAAGTGGCATGTCTAGATGTGTATAAGAGACAGGTGTGTGTGTGTGTGTGCGTGTGTGTGTGTGTGTGTGTGTGTGTGTGTGTGTGTGTGTGTGTGTGTGTGTGTTCCCCCTCGTCCCCTCCAATTATTTTAGGCACAGTAGAAGACAATAGGACCCGGTAGACGACAACTGAATTCCGAGAATTTTGCAGGCCTGAAGGCCTCTCAACTGGCAATGAACTTGGATAAATAAGCAGCATTAATTCCGAGGCGGATTTCAGGAAGACCGTTCATTGAACCAGGGTTTCATTATTTGAGAACGTCCTTCCCCCCATGAGCAGGCCACCAGTGATCATCAATCACAGATCATGGCCATGGGCTTGAATGTGGTACCTGACATTCTGATATTTTTTTAGACTAAGACGGCCCGCAACTGAATCCAGGAATCCCCCTTCCTCTCCCATTGACCGACGATGGGACACACAACAGACTACTACTGAGAAGCTTCGCTGTTTTTTTTTTTTTTTTTTTTTTTTTTTTTTTTTTTTTTTTTTATTTTAACTGTTCCATTCGATCGGGAAAAAAAACACTACTATTCTGTGTGGCAGTAGATGTGGAGTGGAGTTCTCAATGACTGGTAAACTTGTAGCACTCGTAAAACGGTCCCCCCCCTGAAAACTGGAATGCATAAAGCATGCCAGCATCGCCCTTCTCCCTCGTCCACTCAGGCTTGTGCGAAATGAAGAAGAACTTCAAGAACTAAGTAGAGCTTCAGATAATATGTGCAGATCTCTGTAGACTCCATGGAAATTGCGCTTTGACAAATGGATTAGAGCAAACCCCATGCCTTCTGAAGTTTGTGGAAACTTCAAACCTGACCTTAGAAAATCTACAACCTTAACCTGATCTCTAATGGAGACAACCCCCTCCCTGCTACCCAAAGGAAAACAACAAGAAAAGAAGAAGTGAAAGCCAGGCTGCATTCACTGTAGTTCCTCAATGTTTTTGTGGGGGTTGAGAAACTACGCCTTTGCATCGCTGTCCTACTTGTGATCTATCATCTGATAAAGAATTCCACGGATGGGTATCGAATATGTCAGGCGGTCCGAATTATTGTCCCTTAAGCCACTATAGTACCTTTGCCGTCCGGTTTCGACAAGTTTTAGCCTAGTCCCAAACTTTTAGGAGGCCGGGCCCGACAACGGCTGCCGTTGATAAATCTGATCGGTGGCTGTCATTTCGTTTCGGCCTCCTGAAAGATCGGAGGCCCACTATTTTCCGAACCGACAAAGGTACTAGTGCTTTAACAAGGCGGAAGAGAACATCGCCGGCAGTCAAGACCAGCTGTTCTAGTCCTTCCAAAGCCTTAGCGCCGCACCACTCGGCGCACCACCACCAATACTTCACTGGCATGATACTCACTCAGAGCAGAACCAGAAGCAGAACCAGAACCAGAGCCAGAGCCAGAGCCAGAGCAGAACCAGAGCCAGAGCCAGAGCCAGAGCCAGAGCCAGAACCAGAACCAGAACCAGAGCCAGAGCCAGAACCAGAACAAGTAGCAACCGAAACCGTAACGAGAACTAGAAGCCTCTTGTTGAACCAGAACCAGAACTGGAAAGAACTAAAAATCAAAACCAGAACCAGACCCAAAATCAAAGCCAGAACTGGAAGGGACCACAACCACAACCACAACCACAACCACAAGGACGCAAACCAGAACTGGATGGAACTGGGACTAGAAGAGAAGAACCGGAACCAGCGCCAGAGGCAGACCCAGAATTGGAAGGAGCAGTAACCGGAAGCAGATTCTGAACCGTAAGGAGTCCAAACCTGAGCCCAAAACCAGAAGTGTGGGGAATGAAGGGGTTCACTCGGACTCGGAATAACCAGCCCTTGGTTGACCACCAACAGCCCCTCTGGTATGCAGCTGAACGGAACGCGAGTGAATGTCAGATGCTCCTGGGATCGTTGCCGACAACCAGAAACGCGAACCAGGAACAGAAGCAGAAAGAGCGCCTGATACAAATACAAGCTGTCGACTTATTCTTTAAAGCTCTGCTGTTCATCGACAGATTCTCACGGAGAGAGACAGTGGATGAGGTGGTGGCGGCGGTGGTAGTAGTGCTGGTTATCATGCCGTCCTGCTTGGATGACTTCTTCTCCTTGTTTTCTCTGTCTGTCCGGTTCTCATCAACGCCTGAGAATTTCCGCCGCACAGTACAAAGGACAAAGATTATTAAGACCGATACCGCGGCACTCGCTATGATTGGCACTTTATGACTTTGAGCACACCGGCACCTACGGATCGACTTCTTGAGAAGTGTCCCCTTGGGAAGCCGTCTCTGCTCACGACCCTCCACGGTCGGCGGCTTGCAGTGGTGCTCGAGAGATGGGTGATTGCACTGTTTGCCAAGATGGAGAGGAAGGACTAGCAGGTGCTGGCGGTGGCAGCGAAGCCGAAGGATCGGGGGCGGGAGTGGGACCAGTAGGATTTCCAATGCCGAGACAGCTCCCGCAGCACTTGATATCGAAGGATGGCGGCATTGGTTGCATGGGCTCAATGATGTTGTGGATTGTGAGCGCGGGCGGCTGGCAGTTGAGAGGAGGAAGAGTATCCTCACACATGCATGCAGAGGCTTTCCCGGGAGTTGAAGAATCTGTCAGACTCAGTGTGCAGTTGGTCAGATTCAGTACTTCCTGTCGGACGCAACGCATGACAAATCATCATAAGCACAAATCAACGGTCGAGAGTTAGTAGAGATCCTTTTTTTTTTTCTTTTTTTCTTTTTTTTCAACAGAAAATTCCCATGTATAACAAAGTTAGTTAGTAGAGATCCTCAATCTGCGGTCTTGGGCTCAGGATTTAGAATCCAGAGGCATAACTTAGGGCTTCCATGGTCACCATTCACATCAAAGTAACAGAACGGCGACATCTCAAGTGACTTGTGCTGCTGCTGTGTACTTGTCTAGGGAAGCTGGTGAGGTGGCGGACCATCAGCAGCCTGGACTCTGGAGCAGATACTGCAGACAATAAATGGGATCATTTTTTTGCAGAGCAGAATTTTGTCTGTTCAAATGGGGAAGGCCCTAAACTCAGACAAGATGGTTCGGCCATTCCGGGTAGACTGTGAGGACCCCGGCCTCAAATTTTCATATTCGTAATATCAGCCTTGGGCACCGGGCCCCTTTTTTTTTTTTTTTTTTTTAAAAAAAAAAAAAAGTTACTGAAGCCTAGTGCAAGGAACATGAGTATGGACGAAGCACAGAAATCCAGAATGCAAAATCACACTGAAGTCCAAGTATTCAAAGCCAAAGCAGATAGCACATGGAACCGACTAACCATCCCATTGAGAATGATACAGAAGAATCGTGAGTCAATGTCCATGCCCAACAGGGCAACACCAACAGCATAACCCAAATGTAGCTCTCTCTTGTGAATGGCGCCAGGCGCCCTATCTACTCTACAGCCTATCCTACAACTACAGCAATGAACAGCAACTAGACAACTTGACTACCAGCGAGTGATGATGTCAACACCAATGCTGTATTCCACCATCACCAGGTACGTGTCATCTTCCCCACACTCTCCCTTGTTACCCACACAGCGCCCTTCACCTCCGAAGTACCACCTTCGCCCTCACCTCCCCTGCACCCTCTTGCGGCCCGGCTATGGCCGCCAGTGCTCTGCAAGCAGACAGCACCCTACCGCCTAGCCCTGGCCTGCTCTGTCTTAGCGCTGCGCTGCTCTGCATAGCGCTGCACACTTGCATCCGCGCAGCGTGCCCVCATATGCCAGCATTGGCCAAGATCCTCGCTGCCTCGCCCTACTTGCCTATATCCCAGTGCAGCATGTGGGCTGCCTCCCTTCAACTGGTGACCGGGGCCCAGAGGCTGAAGCCAACTCGATACAGTTGGGCCCCGGGGTAAGGCAGTTGCGCCTCCTTCATTAAGGCCTGCGGCCAGATTCAGACAGTGGGCCGATTTCCCTTTGGCATTTTCGGCCTCTCTTTCCAGCATGCATTGTCGGCCTCACGTTCAGATGCCCAGGGCCTAACCAACTCAGAGGCCCTGGGCTTTCAGCATTTGCTGAAATCCGAGACTCGGTGCACTCCAACCAACTGGCGTGCTGCAACTGTATGGACCCCACTTCGTGAAATGTTGCACAGAGGGCTCTTGTCGATTTGCTGGCCCGCCTTCGCTTAGGGCGGGCACTAGGCTTGTTGGGGCCTCAGCCCAGAACATATACATCATGGCAAGGCCCCTACCTGAGGGCTCAATCCTCACACTCCATCCCCCTTACTTTCGAAAGTCCGCTGAGATGCTTACTTCGCAGGCGCCTTCCCTTTTAGTTTCTTCTCATAGTCTGCCACCACCTGAGGAGCTGTGTCAATCAGTTCCTCCCTGGTAAACCAACGATCTTCTTTTGGATCCGTGTGATGCCTGAATCTGACGCGGTACTCTCTYTTGGGCTTGGGAGGTCTTCCTCGGCCCAGCAGCTTTGGAACAGGCATGTCCCTGTGATCCACAATGTCGTCGATGTCAACTTGACCATCCATGGTTGGGGGCAGCATCGATCTCCTGAAAGGGAATTGATCTGTCTCAGCGMAAGGTGCAAGCTTTGAGGCATGAAAAACTGGGTGAGTGCGTAGATGACCAGGGACACGAATGACGTACGTAGGACCATCCATTTCATCTCCCACTACATCCAAGACTTCCCAGGGACCAAAGTATTGAGGCATTAGTTTACGAGATATTCCGAACTCCTGTCCTAACTCACTAGCCTTGACCCAGACACGTTCCCCCACCTGAAATGTGGACTGTCTGCGATGTTGATTCTCAGAAGCAATCATGGCTTGCTGAGCTTTCTTCATACGTTCAACAGCCTCGCGCAACAACTTCTCATATTGCACACCGTATTCAAGTGTGCTTGGAGTTGCAGCAGGTTGGTTTTCAGGTAGGAGGAAGTCTAGTGCTGATTTAGGCTTCCATCCCAAGTGCAACTGGTTAGGACTAACGCCGGTACTACTATGAATAGCATTGTTGTACAAGCTGGCGATGAGAGGCAACTGCTCATCCCAATCATCTTGGTTGGGCTTGATGTAATGCCACAGCAAGTGCTGTACCACTCTGTTCATTTGTTCGGCTTGTCCGTTGGCTTCGGGATGATTCCCTGAAGTCATTTGGAGTTGACTGCCCATCTGTTCTGCAGTCCTCTTCCACAGTTCACTTGTGAAGCGGACGTCTCGGTCACTAATGATGGTCTTTGGTAAACCAAAGTCCCTTACCCAGTTGTCCTTGAACAACTTGATGACATATTCTGTCCTGGCTCTCTCTGGCATTGGTATTAGTCTAGCGTACTTGGTGAATCTATCAATGATGACGAAAATGTCCCTCTTACCACTCTTGCTGGTCACCAGGGTGTCCATGAAATTAATGGAAACACTCAATCCTGGACCATCAGGAATGGGTAAAGACTTCAGAAGCAAGCGGTGCTTGAGTTCTCGGCTTGCCCCGCTGACAGACCTGACAGGTCTCAACATACTTCTTTGCGTCATTTAGCATTCTGGGCCACCAAAATCGTTGTACTAAGTTAGCACTCGTCTTCTTATAGCCAAAGTGCCCAGTTGCGTCATGACATTCGCCTAAAAATAAACTACGCAACTGTTCACTAGATGGAACTACCAATCTCTTTACTCCAGCCTTATCAAGATAGATTAGCCCATCCACCATCACAAACTCACTTTCTGTGGCCTTGTCTTTTGCCTGAAGTTTGCGGATGATGTCCATCGAGACAGGGTCTTCCTGATAGGCTCCCACCAATAATTGAGTTACTTCGTTAGATACGCCAAAGTCAGAAACTAGCGCACCTAGGTAGTCTTCTCTACGGGATAGCGCGTCCTCAACCTTGTTGTACTCTCCCTTTAGGTACTCAAGCTTGAAGTCATATCGGTCTATGACCTTAATCCATCGCTTGAGTGCATCAAAAAGAGCCGGTTGAGTCTTGATCCATTTGAGGGTCTGATGATCAGTCCTCAGATAGAAGAACCTTCCTAAAAGGAAGTGTCTCCAATGGACAAGTGCCTTGTAGAGAGCATAGAGTTCCCTTTCGTAGGTGGACTTAGCCAACTTCTTCGATGGCATCTTCTTACTCATGTACTCAATCGGTCTCTACTTTTTCCCATCCTGTTGAGTCAGCACTGCGCCAATGCCGTATTGGTTTGCGTCAGTGGTCACTATGAATGGCTTCTGCGGATCGGGAACCCTGAGAACTTCATGATTCATGAGTGCATGCTTCAATCTATTGAAAGCACTCTCACACTCATCACTCCAGTCCCACGGTGTGTCAAGTCGAGTTAGATCAGTCAAAGGAGAGGCGACAGTAGAATAGTTCTTAACGAAGTTCCTATAGTAGCCGCACATTCCTAAGAATGATCTGGCCTCAGTGACTGTCTGAGGTCGTGGCTAGTCTCGAATACTAGTCACCTTCGCATCTTCCGGCCTAATCCCTTCCGCGGATACTTCATGACCCAAGTATAGTATCTTAGTGCGACCGAATTCACACTTCTCTAGGTTGACCTTATACTTGTGTTGTCGTAGGAGTGAGAGAACTGTCTCAACATGTTGTGCGTGTTGGAATGTACCCGGCGCATTGCAAAGACCGAAAGGCATCACTACAAACTCATACAGACCATATCTAGTCTGAAAAGTTGTCTTGTGTTGGTCCTCAGGTCTTATTGCGATCTGATGATATCCGGATTTCAAGTCTATCTTCATATAGTACTTGCATCCCTGCACTCTATCCAATAGGTTGTCTATGCGAGGTAGAGGCTCTGCGTTTTTCACCGTGATGGCATCGAGGCCCCTATAATCAATGCACATCCTCAAAGTACCCCCCTTCTTTGGTACGAATAGCACCGGTGATCCGTAAGGGGAAGTACTAGGCCGAATCCATCCCTTCTCTATCAGCTCCTTGAGTTGCTTCCGAAGTTCATCTGACTCTGCAGGGGCCATCATATAGATCCTTCCCTTTGGGGTCTTACTCCCTGGAATGATTTCTATAGCGTGGACGACTTTCCTATCAACAACTCCTGTGGGCTCCTCGAACAGATCAGGGAACTTAGCAACGACACGCTCTATTTTCGGGGGTGTTTTAACGGCCTCCCCCTTCTCAGAGACATAAACAAGGTACATACCTTCCTCTTGGTTTTGCTTATAGTAATTGTAGAACGCAGATGCGCACAAGCAGCCATAGGTATCTATAATACTACTGGCCTTGAACTTAGTCATTCTGATAGTTCGGCCATCGGGCAACTTCTGTTTGAGCACCTTCTTATCCCAGTCAAACTGGGGCTTAGCAATATCGAGGTAGTACATGCCTAGCAACATGTCAAATGGCAAGTCCTTACTAGCCAAGAACTAGATCTTATGGTTTAGCTCACCTCCTCGATAGGAGAAGGTACAGACTACGTCCTTGAGGTAGTCTGTGACAATCATGCGCTCTTTGTTGGCCAAAGTAGATGCTACTGGTCTACTAAGGTGCCGTACCTGGTCCTGTAGGTGCGGCCTTTCCAAACAGTCGCGACTTATGTAATTTCGCGTGGAGCGTGTGTCTATGAAGGCACCACATTTGCGGCCTCCTACATCCACTTCCACAACGAAATGTTCCCCTCTAGGACCCTTCTTTAGCGCCGCCCAAGACTCACGAGGGTCCTTGTTTGACCACTCGCCTTCTAAGTCTTCTAAGGCCTCAGACACATCTAACATACAGAGCATAGTTTGGTCTAGATGCGTCTGCGGGGTAGCTAAGGAGTCATTAGCTTCGGCCTTGTCATGAAGTGAGGAGGGTATCATTCCCACTTCATCTTGAGTAGAAGCCGCCATCACTTCCACTGGCCCTACGCGTTTCCCGAGCTAGAAGCCTGGGAAATAGTTGCCCCAACCTTCGGTGCAACCATTTGCGTAACCTTCGCGTTCGGGCACTTCCACTGCGTGTGTCCGTATTCCCTACAGTTGATACAAGCACCACGCGATCGGCGGTCACGCCATACGTCTTGATTAAAACCTGCCTTTGCCCACTCAGACTGTTTGGTCTGATTGGAGGCGGCCTTCCCTTGACTCCTAGGTTGGCCCTTCCCTCGGCCACCTACCTTAGTCTTTACTACCGCGGCGAGTGTGCTACCCTCAGCTACTTCCTCGCCGTCATACTCTGAGTAGTCTATCAGGTCAGAGACCTCATCGATCTCAGTTTGAGTCCCATCAGACTCAACCATCATCAACTTTGCCCCCTTCTTCTTCCACTCCTGAGGACTCTTCTTCTTTTTTGAGTCATTTCCTGAGGTGGGTTGAGCATTGTCTAGCGTGACCTCTAAATCTAAGGCTTTCCTAGACAATGTCTCAAATGAGTGGTACTCAGTGCGTGCCTCACTGGCTAGTAAGTTCCTCATGTTCTCAGGTAGACATCTAACAAACGTGATTAAGAGGAACTGATCACTGTAGTTGATGCCTGGGACGAGGATCAGGCTCTCGACGGTAGTCGTAAGCTCCCTAACTGACCTGAACTTGCGTTGGTCAAGTTTGTTAATGGCATCAGTGGCCCTTTGAGCCTCCTGTGGGTTATGCCATCGAGCTTCTACCATCTCCATGAATTGGTCTAAAGTCAAAGTCTTAGCCCAATCCGCCATGCGTCGCCCGTACCCAGCCTTCACAACTACTCCATCTAACCACTTGGCTGCCTTACCCTCTAGGTAAGACGCCGCAGTTACCACTTCGTCCTCAGGCAAGGTCCTTTTGGCCTTCACCCAAACCGAGACGGTCCTCAACCATGTGTTGAGTTCTTCGTCCTTTCTCTCGCCGGAGAAGGCAAGAGGCGGTTTCATTGGGGTCTTGGGATACTATTGACCCTGCGGCTATCCAGGTGACTGAACAGGTTGTTGTGGTGGTGTAGCAACCACCACTGGACCCGAAGAAGAAGACGCAACAGTCTACGAGACTGCTGCAGACGTACCACTTGGATGTGTGCCAGCTTGTACAGGAAAGGGACCTGACATCGCTGTTAACGGCAACGGCGATTGTGCTGGTGGTCGGAATCCTGGCCTTGTCAAAGCGTCCAAGATCTGGTCTAAAGTGTTCTGCATGAAGTCCAACCTGCTGTCTACATGCGCATGCAGTGACAACATGTTATTCCTCAACACCTTCATGGGCTCATTCATTCCTGAATCGTCCAAGCCCTCCAACTCAGCCTTGTCAGTCTCTAGAGTATCAAGCCTGGCTGTTCTATTTTTTATCTCCTTTTCTCTGTCGGTAGCCTGTTTCAGTTCCCTCTCTAATCTTTCACGGATCCTTTCGACTTGTTGAAGCTCCCTGAGCTCCCTCTCGCGAGGAGTCAACGGGCTGACCTCCACGCCCGTCATTTGACTTGTAGACGACCTAGACCCTAGTGAAGTGGAGATACCCGGGGACCCCGTTGGCATTCCCAACTAGGTTCCTTACGAGGACGCAGCCGAAGTTGCAGCAGAGGTTGCTGCTATGGTAGCCATTACTGTTGTCGTGGCTGCTGCGGCAGCCTGCTCCCTATCTGCAAGGTTTGCTGCTTCTCTCGATGCTGCGAGAGCACGGGCTCTACGTTCGGCACGAAGCCGTCTTTCTTCTCCCTCGTCTAGAGTCCTGAACACGTACGGGATCCTTCTTGAT